GCTCACTTTAGGCACGTTCGCTTTGTCCTTTTTGCTGTCGCCGCCGACCGCGTTCCGCTGCTGCTGCTGCTGCGGTTTCCGGCCGTCGCCGGCCAACGAACCGTCGTCCGCGGTCGACCCGCTCTTCTCCGCCGAATCGCCCTCGTTTTTCGGGTTCAACAGCTGGTGTTTGGCCACGTGTTCCCGTTCCAGTTTCTTCAGCTCCGACTCGACCATGGTCAGCTCGTTCAGATTGCTCTCAATCATCGGCAATCCGGGCGGTAGCCGGTCGCTGTCCGTGTCGCTACTGCCGCTCGACGACGACAGCGGTGGCTTGGGCGGTGACCGTTTAGGTGACGACGACGGTTGGTCGTCGATCTGCACGTGCGGCACCACTCTAAACCGGCTCTTCTTGACCTGCGCCGCGCCCCCCGCGGACGCGGATGTCACTGACGTCTTCTTCTTCTTCGTCGTCGTCGTCGTCGTCGTTATCGCCGCGGCGTCGGCCTTGGTCTCGTCGCCGTCCAAATCTTCACCGTCGACCCCCGCACCGCCGCTAGCCTTAAGTTCACCGTGATTCCGGGACGACCTCTGCAACGTGTTCTTTAGCTTGTCGGGCGCGAACTTGGCCCACGCCGTTGACTTCCACACGTCGTCCCAAGTGCGCATGGTCAACTTGAACCGCGATTCCATTATGGATTTCTTGCTCCGCAACCGGATCAACGGAGTACCGTCCTTGGTAGTGAGTATACCGTGGTCTGTGACGGCCGGCGGTCGCTGCAGACCGCCGTCTTCGGGCGACTGTGGCGTCCCGTCGGCGTTAACGTCTGCCTCGTCGCCTGTCTCATGTTGTTGTTGCGTACCCGCGGCGTCTTCCTGGAGCGTTTCCGGAGGCTGCGGTTCGTTCTGCTGCTGGTGATCTTTATCAATACGACGGTCGTCGCGGTCGTCGTTACCCTAACCGGAAATACAAGGGGGTCAGTATACACCGGCGCACGCGTGCGTTCCGATACGTCATACACAATAACAATAAATCGTTTTCACACGCGCGTAGCAGAAGAGACCCGTTGGAAATGTTTATCCCGGCCGCCACCTCCCGGAAACAACAACGGTAATACACCAGACGCGCGGCTACGCGGGTGCCGACGTCGCGTTACGCGCGCGCACGTTGTCATAATAACGTATCGTTTACGCGTCGTTGTTGTTGTTGTTGTTGTTATCGCCGATGCCGCGGCAAAACGGCGCGCGAATGCGTATCGATTAATTGTTGTAATATAGTTGCATAGTTCGTGCGCGCAACGGTTTTCGAACGAAATACCCGGCGTACAGGTGTCGTATACTAATACTAATAATAATAATAATAATAATAATAATAATGTTAGTACGCGTATAGATAACGTTGCCGAAGGTCGCGGCGACCGCGGCTCACTACGGCTCGTCTACCGGCGGCGTTGACGTACGCGCGAATTATTATTATTATTATTATTATTAATATCATACACGGCACATTTATTGTACGATTTCGTATACGCGCCGCGACGACAGATTAAGTTTCACGCGAACAAATAACGGGGCCCGCATTATACAATATAACGAACACAATCGTTATCGTACACTCGATATTCGTACACTCGACGATGGTCTATCGCGGTCGCCGTCGTTAAGATTACGCGCCAATAACGGCGCCGCCGCCGACGCGGCAAAAAGAAGAGCGAGAAAAAAAAAAAATGAACTAATGAAAAAATATGAAACGACGACGTATTCCGCTTTTAAAAAACGACGCGATTTTAATAATGCGTACGAACGCGCTCGCGGTTTCCCCCCCCCCCATCCCGCCCAAACGCGGCGTTATTTTACAATGTTATATCCATGGGCCGCGGACATTGGCGACCACCGTTTACGTCGGGCGTATTAATATTGTTGTTGTTGTTGTTGTTTCCGTTTCCCGGTTAAATGTTTATTTTATTTTCGTTCGGCGTAACGTTGAGCGATAACTTTGCAATACTATAAACGTATCGTATTACTGCAAAACTCAACGGGTCGGAAAATTATGTTGGAAATTGTGCACGAGGGATGTACCGTTGTGTTATACGACGTCATTATAAACTTGATTACTGTCCCGTGAAAACGCGGTATAACGGATCGCCACAGACACGAGGGGGGGGAGGGGATGGGGGGAGGGGGAGGGGGTTGATAGGGAATAGCGTCGACGCCTGTCTCGTCGACCGGAAATGCAGAAAATAGGACACTCGGGGAATAACCGCCGGGCCACCTCACGTGCGCCGCGCGATAAATTCGAATAAACAAAACGTTCCCCGCCCGAAAAGGTCGACATTTCCAACGGGTCTAATCGCGTCGCGTACAACAACGATGATGAGAGTGAAAAATACCTCGTCGGGGTTTCGGTCGAACATCCGCTCCAGATTCGGTTTGGCGGGCGTGCTGTCATCGATGATGACGGGCCCGCACGTCTGTGTCTGCTGGGCGTCGTGCGCCGCGCCCGCCGCGGTCTGGTGGCCGCCGTCTCCCGGTTCGGCGCCGTCTTCGTCGGACGGCGGTTCCTCGGCCAGGTTTTGCATCTCTTTGGACTTGCAGTCGAGCGGCTTGAACAGGTCGCGGACGCTGACCTTGCGCGATGGGTCGGCCATGTCCAGGTACGGGCCTACCGTCTGCGTGCAATCGTTAGAAAATCTCGTGTTGATGTCGTTCACCAGGCTCGTGGCCTTGGCGTCGACGACCGGCGGCAGTGGGTCGACCGCGGCCGTCTCCGCGGGCAGTTGGGCCGCCGCGTCATCTTCGGCGGTGGCCGGCGATTCTTCCTCGACCACCACCAGCAAATTCTCGCACTCCTTGGACTTGGCGGCCAGCGGCACGAACAGCTCGTCCAAGTTGACCGGGTTCCTGCGGTCCAGGACGGGACCGCACGTCTTGCTGTAGTCGTCGTCGTCGCCCATCATCATCGTTGCGCGGACCGTTACAACACCGCGATGGCGATCACCGTTGAGGATGATGACCGGGAGGGACGCGCGGGCGTGACGTTTACGATAACGATATTAAAAAATAATATGCTGTTGGTACTGCGATGCCGCCCGTCTATTTCTCCACAGACATCGTCGTAGGCGCGGCGGTTGGACGACCGGTTTTTTTTTTCTTTTTCTAATGTTGTTATTATTAAGCGCGTAAATCGAAACGGAAAGGATACGAATACGCGACTTCGATGCGTGCGCGACACCGCCGCTAAAGTAATAATAATAATCGCGATAATCGTACGTGGCGACGAACGGCGGTAAACGCGCGACGGCGACTCATCGAAATTAAATTGGAAAAAAAAAAAAAAAAAAAAAAGAAATAATAATACAATAAATCGCGATCTAATAAACTCGCGTGCGTGAACACAGAAAACGATATAGGCACGCTCAAACACACACTCACACACTCAAACACACACTCAAACGCAGGCAACACACTGTAACCGACGCGAAATAAACGCACCGACTACAACACGCGGCGTGTGTGGAAACGGACTGCTGCTCTGCCGCCCGTACGCCGCCGACGCCGCCTTCCAACGGTCGGTCGGTCATACGGACACGCCGCCGCCGCTGATAACGTGCGCGCCACCATACACACGACGACGTCGTCGCCGCCGTCGTCGTCGTCGTCGTCGTCGCCGCCGCCGCTGCCGCCGCCGCCGCCGTTGTAGACACGGACGTGTAACCGTGCCGAGGTACCGCACGCGCGCACGCTCGCTCGCTCGCTCGCCCGGACCCCGCGGTCGGTCGCCACAATGACGGAGGCGCACGCCGCCCGACACCAGTGTGGCAAACAGCGCTAACCGTACACACAATACGTGCGTACACATATCCTTTTAAACCTTTGCTCGCCGCACACGAAACTTCCGTTTAATTTCGTTTGCACGCGCCCGCATGCCGTCGCCGCCGACGACCCGTTTGTCCCACGGCCCGGATGGTAATCATAATTGGTATCAATTACGATGGGAAAAAATCGGCATCTCGCCGTCTCCGCGGCTAACCGGCCGCCCGCCGAACGGACAAACGGTGTCGCGCGTTTTACACGGATACGAAAGGGGACAGCGTGTCGCGCGCGCGTGTGACTTACCCGCGGGCACGTGTAAATATTATCGCGCGGTCGACGGGACCGCATGAATTTCCCACGATGATGTAACCGTAATTTTCGTTTCCCGCTGCCGCCACTTAACGACCGCACAATATACCGGGGGTCCCGGCTTTTATTCCACGAGCGCCGCGGCGACGGATTAATCCGATTCACATTCAATTCGCCCGGCCGCCCGACAATGATGATGATTACGAGAAAATTATTATTAACAACAATTACGAAACGCGTTACACTCCCACATTAATAATTCCGTTTGGAGAAAAAACAAATTGAACGATAATACAATAGTTATATTCATTTACCAGAGCTTCTCGATTCCGTTCCATACGGGCGTCCGAAATTGACCGTCTCGTTGACTCGCACCAAGTCGCGTATTAGGAAAAAAAAAACCCCGTTTGTTTGAAAACAATATTTCGGGAGAAATAGGTCATAATCAATAAAATCCGTTAATGTTGTTACAGGAAACGGCGATAAATCTCGCAATAGCAATTTATTATTACTACAAAACGAAAAAAAAAAATATATAACAATAATAATAATAATAATAATAAATTATCATTTTATACGATGATAATAATTACATTTTATTATTAATATATAAAAATCGTAATTGAGTTTCGAAGAAACTGCAATTCCGGTAAACGGCAAAATATTTTCTTTTTTTCTCTTGCATTTTAACGCGAACTTCTCGCGCGACAATATTTCGCCCGAAAGACCCAAACGCCCGACGAAAAAGCCAAAGTACTCGGGTCGCGGCTCGATCATAGACGACGTGACAACAAAAATATTTTCCTTTTCCGAGAGGAAATTCTACCCAGTCGGTACTTTAAGGTGGCCATTTTTTGATTTTCCAAGCGGTTTTCATAATAATTAGGAGAAAAACTGGACAATTTACGTACGCATATAAAAGATACTACGCTCCGAATCGTTTTTCGTAAGCGACGGTGTATCGTTGAGTACAGATGTATCAATTAAATTCCCCACTTTTCATCTATAACAGTAACTCACCCATCGTGTTTAGTATGTGTCCGTTCTTTTATTTTTTACTAATTACTTACACCATCGTAAAATCGACAAATCACGAATGTTTTACTCGTAAATAATTCGATAAAATTTAAAACGCGCCCCAACGCGAAATTAATTTGTTTACGAATCCGAATATGTTTCGATTTTTAAAATTTTTAAATTTAGACCATTTTTTTATTTATTTACTAGGATTTCGAAAATTAGCTTTCGGGAATCTAGCACATCGAAAACGGTTTCCTAAAAACGTTGAAAAATCCCGAAAAAAGAAACAAAATTAGATTAGAATATTACAACAGACGTCCTAATATATGCACGCCATCGTCATTATAGGATTTATGGTTCTGTCTCAATTTTACAACAATCACTTATCAGCTATCGGTAATTGATGGCCACATCGATTTTACTCTTACGGCATGTTTATAAAATGGAATTCCTCGTCTCTGGCGGGCAAAAGCAGGCCGATCATCAACTTCATCTAATTATGCAATTCGATACTTTCGTCAGTGTTTAAACCGTAGGTAACGTAAAATATTGGACAAGACGCAAAAACCTCATTGCGTGGACATTAAGCGATATTTTTTTAAGGTTGTAATGTGGGACAAATATTCGCAATAGTGAAACGATACCGCGATTAAACATAATATAGTATAGCAGTGAAACGTAAATATTACATGTTGCAATCAAATGACGTTATTCTATGCCAATATTTTTTTAATAATAATATCAGTGTAGTTAAATTTAGAGTTTATTATTCTGTTTATCGGGATCTTTTGAACGGATTTGAAATGATTTTAAAAACTTATAAATACACATATACAAAATAATGTTTCAAAATAGAATTAACTAATATTAAAAAAATAACGATTATAATAAACACAAATTTGTAATGTGTAAAAAGAGTACAGCTCTGGTGTATTAGTGTAAAAAATCTATACACATATTAAATGAAAAAAAAATAATAACGCACAGATAAAAGATAATATGGATTAATAATATTAACATTTTTGTAACGCAAACTTCAAAAGGATCACCGATATGCTCTATCTTTTGAAAAATCGATGTTCCCCCTATCCGAAAAAAAAAAGATCACAAGACCTCACGCCAATAAAATCAGTATAGACAGTATTCGTCATTTAAACCAATAAGTCCCGTCCAGTTTTAATCGTCCAACAATATACATGCCTAACCATAACGATAAATGGATTTACTATAGGCATTAATACTATCATTATACAATAATATTGGTATCGCAAAAATAGACGCTATGCGAATGCTCGACAAGTAACTATAGTTATAAAAAAAAATACTAAAAATAGTTATTACGGGTAAAACCGAGGGTTATTAAATATTATTTGCGGTTCGAAAAACCGTAATCTAATATTATTACAAAAGGTACAGTGGCGCGCCCGGGAATTTTCGACGAGAAAGGATAAAATTAAAATACTAAACACGATTCGCGACCACATCGTAGATTCTTCTTCCGTTCTACGTGACCCGACAATGAGAATTTAAAAGCAGGATCCGAAAAAGCAGTTTTGTGTCAAACAAATCAAATTTCAAAAATCAATTTTCTTTGTGTTCAACACGACTTAAATTGTACGAGGATACGACAGTCAGAAGTGGCAAGAATATTATCATGAAAATATACGTAGGAGGAAGGAGGGGAATAAGAAGGGCGAAAAAGAGGCGGTCGGACGTGATGGCAAATGAGGGCGACGGGCGTGTGATGCGAGGAGACTTGAGGGATCGAGTCACGTGAAAGTTTAGGCGACCGACCCCAAATAGATAGTTGGGTCAAAGTAGAAGAAGAATAACTCGACAGAAATATCAAGATGTCAAGATAAAATTACTGAATAAAAAAAAAATAATAACCTCATAGATTTTTATTTATTAGCCACGGGCAGGGGAGAAACATAACCTTTAACCCCGACCGCTCTCCTATGCGGCTGAGTTTAAAAGTACCGCGTGAACGTTGTCCGCATAATTATAATATCATTCCCGATAGTTTACCTACTCGCATATTTGATATACTATCTGTGCGCAAGTAAATGCGATTGTACAATTAAATCACCTCGATTCGCTTCTAGAAAGATAAGACGCGAAACCTTGTGGAAAACAAGATATGTGCGTTTTTTAGAAGAAGAGGGAAAAAACAATATAATACACTCGTAATTTAATAATTTTGTTAAACGAGTACACAAATACTTAATGCCGTTTTATTCGCCGGCTTAACTCGACTGTATTATGTAAGTAGGTAGGCAGGTAGGTAGGTAGGTATAGGTATAGGTATATAGGTACCTATATATACTATGTAATAACAGTAGGTATAGTATAAATATTGTAGAATTCGCTCAAGGGCACAAAACTCATTTCAGCCAATATAAAAAGTATTTTTATTTTTTTGTCCTATATGAATTATGAATTATAGGCTTTTTTTTTTCTTTTTTTTACACGAGTTATCGAGCAGTCGTTATTACCGAGAGAAATATTATAGTACCTATACCATAATAATACTTATTAGGGCCTTGGATTTTTTTTTTCTACACAACAGTGTTATAAAAATGTTACAAATGCATTTATGACCTAATAATATAATGCCCTAAAAAAAAAAAAAAAAAACGGTATTTTTTCCCCCCAAAGTTTATGTTTAATAAATACGCTTTTCGAATTAATAGTAATTACTGTATCGAGAGAAATATATTACGGCGACCTTGGCTTTATGTATGTATACACACAACAAGCGATACGGGCGCGGGTTTGTATAAGTTGTAATACAAATATTGTTAACTCGTGAAACACGAGTATCGTTTAAAACGATATTTTTAATTAAAAATTCGTTCCGTTCGAAGGTCTCTCGCGGGTGTACAAATATTCCCCGATACACCGTATTCCGCACCCTTATGAAATATAACCTACACACTGTCGGAATATTCGTACAAATATACAAGTCTCGCGTTTCAAATACAGACGGCGAATCGTATGAAAACAGATTATCCGTCGCGTTTTTAGTTTTTCGGAGCGGAGGAGTGAAACGACGCTATCCATCCAATGTAAACACAATCGGAAACTTTCGTCAGTAACTTTATGAATGGGTAATTGAACGTGATTTTTTCATACGGGACGTTATCCGAGTCCCTAAGGGTTCAGTATCCGTAGATAAAAAAAAAAAAACTTAGTAAAAACTCATATAATAAGGTTTTTTTCAAAAAAAAAAAATTGTATTATACGTGTTTCAATTCGAAGAAACTTCTCTGCGAAATCGACAAAACGTCGAAAAAAAAAACGAAAAGTATAACAACACAACCGTTTTCGGATGTATCGAGTAGATTATTTTTGAGCAATCGACTTATTTTTATTTTTATAACGGCATTTGATACTCTCTTTTTTTTTTTTTTACAATTTAATTAGGTCCCTGCGACCAACACGATTTTTATTCGTATAGGAATTGCCGTCAAATGCAAATTAAACATTATGTATACAGTAAATACCGTCCGTTAGATAACTTGACCTGACCGAGGAGAGTTAACTCAGCCCTCCTATAATATTTGTATTTATTTCCCTCATTCCACAGTTGACATTTTATGCTGTAACCTTTTTCGTGCGAAAGACAATAATTATAATGTTATATTTCACGAAACGGAAAATTACAAACTAAAAAACAGGAGTAATTTAAAAAAAAAAAAAAATTGAATATAAGTATAATGAAAACGACAATTCTCACGCGATAAAAAACATAATTTATATTTTGTATAAATATATACCAGCACCCACGGGAAGTCCCTATAATATATACAAATTATACGGTAGGAAAAAAAAAACCCGGGTAAAACACCGTCAAATTTGTATTTATCGCAATACTGTCAAGGTAAAATCGCACGTTGTTTATCGTCATTTCTGTGTGCGTGACATTTGGCGGATAATCGGAAAACACTGCTGTGACACGCCGAGCAAACAACACATCGCAAATGAAATCATTTAAATTGAATCGCAGTATATTATTATATTTCGTAATGTAGAATAGTCGCGTAACGAGTGCAGAAATGTCATATATTAGGATAAAATAATCGTATACCTATACGTATACGTAGCCACTCGAAATACGTTCGTAAACGATTCGATATTATCGTTAAATAATTACCGAGGCTGACAATCTCATCTCGTTCGGACACGCGAAAACAAACAAAACTAAATCCGACACTTTCCTGATTGTAAAATATACGGTCTTAACGATGTGTGCTAATAATGCGATATAAATTAATTAGTAATTTACGGGCGATTTATCTAGAGCAAACGTACTCGACGGTGGTAATTTTCAAAGGAGAGGGAAGCGATAAAACATAATAATCGCACCGCGATTCCGCTGTGCAATATAAATCGTCGTAAAATCTTCTTTTCTGTTTCACCTCCGAACACAGCCGACAACGACAACGTTTAAAAGGCCGGATGTAAAAGAAGAAAAAAAAAAGACCAATTTTTATTCGACAAATTGAACGTTTTCCGTCGTAACTCGACCGGAATATTATAATTTCGAGATAAAATTACTCGCAGTCGTTGTAATTTTCAAGCCGATTGGGAAGGGGGGACCGCGGGGTATCGACGTCCATATTGCAACGTATCTCAAATACTGGGGATTTTACAGGAAAACGACAGAAAAATAAATTATTCGAACGGTATAATCGCATTAAATACTATTAATAGTTTAGGCCGTACAGTTGCATTAATAATGTATTTTTTCAACTATTGACTAGAAGTATGAAATTTCAGGGGCGTAGCTTGAATTTTTTTCCGTGTAACTATCTCACGTACGGTGCAGACTGTTAATACAATTTTTATCATATACCATATTATGCGTATTGTATTAACGACTTTTAAAAAAAAATAAATATATATATATATATACATCATCTAACTGGCTACACCGTGTAGATAATAATATGCTTGACATTGACTATTCACGATCGTAAAAAAATTAACTATTTATAAAAAAAAAAAAAAAAAGGTGGGTGGTCTACTCGGGCCTACCCTATACATAATACATTGTCGTAACGTTGTACGGGAATTTCTTTCGCGTATCCATACACATATGATTATTATCATATACCCGATAATATTATATAGGTATACGAATGAAATTATCGTGGGCGATAGGATGAGGCTGGACACAGGCGTAGGTATATCTCGCGCGGTTAGAAATCGAACATTGCCGGAGGAGATGAAAAATAATTAAAAAGATTCTTAATTTTACATAATTTCACATTAACGGAATCTAGGTCATCGATGTCGCCGCCGCCCGTGTGTGTGACCGAGGAAATAATATTAACACACGCGACGTTTGAAAAAAAAAAAAAAAAAAAAAAAAAATACGTTGCAAAATATTATAGCGTTTGCATAACACATACCGACAAAGTCCAGAGAATAACCCGAGAATTCCATTATTATATTATTATTTGCTCGAGATATCAATTTGTTTGTTTGTTTTTTTTTTCGATTGTCGCAGCTGCGAACTTCAATCGACTTTAGCCACTTTATCAGCGCACTATAATAGTACTCCGGCCGAAGGCCGACGACAATGATAAATAATATTAGTCTTATCAGACTCTAACAATACCGCACACACTCATCGTTTTTTCCTATAACAATAATAACAATTATTATTATTATTATTATTATTACAAACGCCGTGATAATTATTATTATTGACGGAAATTATTGGTCAAATGCGATTTCAGTATCCCGATTGTGTAGAATTAATAATATAATAACGCGGAAAAAAAAAACCCGTTCATACGGCAATCGACGTTTATCGTTTCTTTGTCGTTTGTTTTTTGTTTTTTGTTTTTTTTGTTTTTTTTTTTTTGTTATACGCGCGGCGTCAGTTGACCAACCACAATCGATTTCGCTTAAACAGAAGAAAATACTAATAGCAATAAAAACATAATCGTCGGGGTTGCACCATAACCGATAAAAACAGCACGGGAATTACAATATTTACAGCTAACTGACCCGGAAGATACACAGCGGTCCCCGTTTCGGCCTATCTCGCTTTCTACGGTCGCCAATATACCTTTCCCTGAAAGTGCCATCCCCTCACTGATGGCATTTATTATGGCCAACCGATGGACTGCTACCGCGGTCCCTAGCTATAACGGCACCCTCCGAACAACTTCATCGGATAATAACTATCGGACGAGGGTAAATTCTCGCGCTGTATTAATAATGCTCGATTAATCGCTTATTCCATTTCTATTCACTTGTCCCGCTTACAAACCTTATCGGATTCGCATAACTCATTTGCATGGGTCTTACAGGCATTTATTCAAAACTGATAAGGACAAAACAATGACATGTATAAACAATAACGGTCCGAAAAGCGTAATTTTTATATGCCATGATACGCGTACACAGTAATTCAATAATATTAATGTACTATATTTTATATCTAATAAATCTTTAAAAACGAAATACTTATACTACTGTACCCATTAAGACATAATTATTATAAGTCGTAATCAATAAAGACAATACATTAAACTAGAGACGACAACAGTCATTAAGGATCGCGGCATATAACAACGACGCACCGCGGACAGCTCCTAAACGGAGCATTTTTGTGTCTCTCGGCCTGTGTCACACAAGCGCAGACACAGACCGATAGAGTTTTGGAAGCTTGTTTTTATGTTATTTATATAATCAAATTCTATCTCCATTACAATTTCGAAACTGTGTTTTTATCTCCAATACCCCGCAAAGAATACACGAGTCCTTGTTCGCGACAGGTACGAATATTGTACTACTAATATGTCCAATTCTCACATTGACAGCGTCCGTTATCCAGGGGAACGTTGTACTATTCATTTTACCTAAGCTCATGGTTTGCTATTACAAATAGAATTCACAACCCCCCCCCCCCTCAAATACTTCCTCTAATAGGAAAAAGCAGTACCTAACTAAAGGAGAGAAATTTATATTCATGTTTGAGTGGTTACTCCTACTCTTACTGCCTCTCCTTTTAAGTAATTGCATAATACATTTAAATTCGTAATGATCGGATGTTAAAAATATTACTATCTATAAATAATTGTAAAGTTGATTTGTCTGGGGCCTATGGTCTCAGACGAAACCGAAACGAAGCGAGCGAATGAAGGAAATCAATCGAAAATAAACCCACCGATTTTTTATAGAAAACCACGTCGGATAGGATTTTATTTCGTGTGCAGTTTGACGTATTATGTTAATATGCGACCGGGCCTGACGTAAACATACGCTGCACCTTACATTAGACCCGTTGCTCGGTATGCTCACTCGATATAAACGTATCGACAAACATAAACGCGTTATCAATTCGTAATATCGTATTTAGCCATTCAACGTCTACATCCGTACACAATCGCTCATATTATCGGAATTTTAATGGAAAAAAAAAAAAAATTATACAGGAACCTACTTATCGAGAAATAATTTGAAATATAAACCCCGATTTGCTGCGCAAAACCACGTCGGAGGTCACAGGAGAATAAACGAGAAAAAGAAAAATCGAAAAACACGCGCTTCAATAGTCGGGAATCGAACTCGTAAAACAAACGGTCGCCGCGATCACCCGCCGGGACACCATCACGGTGAATGCCCGTTTGAAATGCAATTACACAAATCGGGTGAAGCATAACAATCGACCGGGTCTGAAGGTTAGATTAGGTTGTTATCATTTTCGGAAGAACTGCAGTAGATCCCGGTTTTTACCGCGGTCATACCGGAGGATATTTTCCGGGGACAATAAACCGCATCGCCAATTTACACTCGGTTGATAAACCGTAAAACCTAAAAAAAAAAAAAGGAGCGAGTGCGTGTGTCACATTAGAATATGCATTCTAAAACGAGACGCTGACTCTCCTCATCGTGGTCCATTATCATTATTGTTGAATACAGTACAACAAATCGCGCACGACGGCGTCCTTGATCCGGTACATAGATAATAAAGTATCACTATAGATCGACTGTTTATAATAATGGTACATTATGCAGAATAAGTATTATAAAATAATTGTCGGCGCGGGGAATTATTAAAATATCACAATACACGTACCGAGGATGGATAACGCGAAATCGTCCTGTTATTCCGATTGGTATTTTATTTTTTCTTCTTCACTGTGTCTTTTTTCTCGCGCGGTTTCTGATAAATACAAGTACGTAAATCAACAACAACAACAAAAAAAAGAACTGAGCCGTTTCGGAGAATGAAAGTCAGATGTGATTATCTGTGCCTAGACGGTAATCTAATTTATACCAAACGGTACGCTATCGGAAAAAGATTATGAATGTCAACATTAGTCATATATTTTTACCTTCGTTTATCGAGGTAATCGGGAAATCAACAGAAATTATACACTGAAAATCTACGGTTTCCCCGACTCATTAAGAATCTAACTACACGGGAAATGGAAACAAAAAAAACCCCAATGCGCGTACTAAATTTAAAAAAAATACCACAAGTTCTTATAAAGTTTTTGATTGGAGCGAAATTTCTGTTAGAAAAGTTGTTTACAGACACGAAAAATATCAAAAGAAAAAAAATCATACGCTTCGCTTTGAATCTAAAATGTTTTATGTCAGTAAGAGGAAAAAAATACTCTTTTGTAGTCCTAACCTACACAGTGTACGTATACACAACGGTAGTTTTAAATTTCGTCGATAAATGAAATACGAGTACATAAATACGAAATACATTCATCG